GTTCGGCAAATAGTGCTACATTTCCTGGCATATTCGCGACCATTCTCAATCTTCTCTTACTCTCTTTTCGCTTCGAAGCTCCCCGGCGTCTTCATTCATTCCATCCCGCGGCTCTCTTATTCAATTCTGAACGCGTGACTCTGACTTCTATTTGGAACTTGTTTGCCTCGGCTCCAAGTGATGGAGGAGATGCCCCCACTTACGCCTCTAGCTCCCCGGCTCGAAAATCTTCTCCGCGACGTATTTTCTGGGAAAAGCTATAGATGTGATCATAGTGACAAAGTGTTGATAAAGTATATTTTTTAATATTTGAATTTGAACTAATATGCTGAAATTATAACAAAAAATAATGTAAAAATTTTGTTTGTGTATTTTTCAAAGAGTAACAAATTAAGTAACCACGTTCTTGCGGTGGTTTAAAAGTGTTTCTTTAAACGTAAGGTTGTTTGTGCCACTACTTTTGTTAGTGTCGTAATCACGATATTTCCCATTTCGCTACATTTTCCTTACATTCAATTCAAGTGCATGCAAACCTTAATGTTAAATAATTACATTAAATTTCTTAGATTTATTCCATTATTATTGAGTAGTTAAAATATTGAAAAACTGTTATTTGACGCAACGTATATTGTAATAAATCGAGTAAATACAAGATTAAAGCATTGTCGTGGACTAAACCTCGCATGATTCTGAGCATTGCAATCATTTTCATAGAAACTCTGAATCAGTGTATTAAAGATTTTGATTAAAATATTGAACTGGTTTGACCCTAAGTTAAATTCCGTATTTGTTTTATATTTAATATCAATAACGGATGTGATTTTCTTTTCGGATTTAATAGTAAACCTCTTTATTTCATTTAACCCACTAATCGCGTTATTGAGTCGCCACCGCGATCCAAAGGAACCACTGAGTAATAATCATAAAAACAATATGGACGGTAAACAATTCACTAATGCAAATAACAATCATGGTACAACCAGTATAAAACTCAGCTAGATTGTTGCATAGAATTACTAGGAATATTCATCAGTAGCACAAATAAGAAAAGGAAATTAGCCAAGATTAGACAGCTGACACGTGACACCTGTAAAGATAGATGTCGATTGTAGATTTTTTTTCTTTGTCAAAGCTACATAACTAAAATGAACTCAAAACAGAGTTTGACCATCATTTACCTTTCAATAGGTTTTCAGAAATATTGTGATGTTATTCACAATTAATTTACTGGTACACCATCACATTTTTATTATAAACATGTATAAGCAGAGACCAGACATTAGAGTAAAAACATGCCATATACATGAATTTGAAGTGCTGCTTTGCTTGTTCTGAATTTATCTTCTTTATAAATTTTCCTTACATTTCCGTTACCACTCGTAACATTAAGTAATTAATAGTGTGCCCTGGATTTGCTGATTCTATTTTCTTGGAATGTTTGATTTAATCTAATGTGCGTATTATCACGTGCTTAATTAAGTTAATAATAAAGTGGCTCGCATTTGCTGATTCCTGTGTTTCTTGTATGTTTGTTAAATCATACTGTGGGTTATTTCTTGCTATTTTGCCCCTATTATTTTTTAGCCAACTGCACGTTTCCATTAATAAGAAGGTCTCCTGCTTGCGAGGGGATCATTATTCCTTTTTTAATGATTAAGTAGATAGTCGATCGGTGTATTGATGTTGATGAATGGGAAAGGAACGCATCACATAATACATTCACCGCCCGAGGCAGGTGATTCGAATGTTGTCCATCCTTCGATTTGAAATCGCCACAAAACTACTTATTAAGAGTCGTGTAAAATATTTTTCAATACATTACTCAAAGAAAAGTATGCTGGAAAATTATGCTCGTATAATTGCCTGTACACAAGGTGACTTTCATATGAATTTGTACTTTACGGTTGTTGTGTGATATCCTTAAATACAATATATGATTGTGAATGTTGCCAAACAATGGTTTACCTAACCTCAGTGCCTGGCCGCGGAGCTGTTCTGCCAAAAACCCTCTCATTCTCGTGTGACATTGGGTAACCTAAGAGTGCCCCCTTAAGTATTTTCTCGGAATGGTACTAAGAACGGTGCGCCTTCCACTTCAAATGAAAAACAAAAGAGCGGCGAGTGTCTTTCGGGGGACGCCACAACGAGGTGAATGAAAAACTGGCAATTAAAAAACATCATATCAAATCGCCAATTCTTTCTTTAGTGCCGACAGTAGTCGCCCTTTTTAAATAACATAATATTTAGAAACTGTGGACAATACCCATTTATTTTACTTAAAATTAGTTAATTTCTTAGTTAACACGACCAAATATTCTATATCGCTCGTGGTGTTGCAATGAAGCGCAACACAAAAATTCAATTTTTCAGTTAACGCCACTCTCAAGAACTGCATAATTTAGTCTTCCTCTGCAAGCAATAGCATCATATCTTAAGTAGAGAATTTCAACAAAGAAATTTGGCAGGAAGTGTTGAATGCAGGAATGAACATTTCAAAACGATAGGTGAAAACTTCAAACTCATTTATTCCAACACTTCACTGTTCTGGAGTTGTGTCAACTTTGCAGCTCAAGAAACGACAGGTATTATGTTATATAAACTATACGTGGAATGTTAGTAAAGTTTACAATACTATTAAAGGATGAATAAGTAAAAAAAACCCGCTGAAAAGCTCATAATACGATACTTTAAGTTGCCTGGGCAATGTTAATGTTCAAAAAGAAAAAAAATCTGTTTACACTGATATTAATGAAATAAATCAATGCAATAATTTAAGTTTAAATATATTTGTAATGTCACTAACATAAATTTAAAACATATTTCTGCAACTTAATTAAATGTAATTATTTTACCAATGTTAATACCACTTTAATCATTAATAATTAATATTAATTAAATTTTTCAATCAAATTTTAATTACAACAACTAAAATTGTTAACAATTTCTGATCTAGAATAAGCTAATGGAAGGGACACGGTCTGTTCTCGGTTTAATACGTATCTCCGATTCCACAGAAATTCTCGTTTTGTCCTGTCATCCGGAAATACGAGCCCTAAAACTTTTATTGCTGCAGATAATACTGCAATTAGTTAAAGTAGTTTCATTTGCATTATTAGACCAGGCAGAACTAGACAAATGTGATTTCTTTAATTTATTTTAAACATCTAGCATTATTGCCTCGCTAAGCATTTTGGTTACATTTCTTCAGAACTTCAGGGTTTCGTGGCTCGATTGCAAATCTAATCTTAGTCTTTATCTTGGTCTGCTCGAACTCCACATGTTCAGTGAATTATCCGTTTCGTGCCGGAAGCTCATTCACTCGACGGGGCATGGCATGTTTTCATAAACTGACAAGGACTTTTCAACATACATTCAATTAAATGGGGAAAACGTAATTCCACTTGTGAATTTCTCACCTCTGAATCAAGAGAAGCAGTAAGTAGATTACTTGGAAAAGTCGAGTTATTGTTTTCAGCAGAAGGCGCATGCTTGGAGACAGCTAGATAAATATCGCGATTTTATAAAATTCTCCCCACTCTTCTTTGAGACAATTGTGATGGCATCTTCTACAAACTTCAGCTTCCAAAGAAAATTAATGAAAAGAAAACGAAACACTTTCGTTAATGAATGATACTCAAAGCGTTCATTTATTTCTCGAATCAACAACAGGTGTTTGGTCTGAACTGAAAAATTCTCGTGCATAGTGAAAACTTTTTAAGATTCTGTAGTATTACTTGTAGGAACAGTCAGCTTCCCGACAATTCTATGGTTAAAAGATGAGTTACTATCTGTTTCTCACTAGAAAACATAACTATTGGAGTTTTAATCTT